TGTGGGGCACAATTTTCTTCCATGTTACAGAAAGGTTCTTGAAAAAATGTGTCTCTCAGTAAGTTTCGGAACCAATTGCAAGCTCATCTCATGGATAGAGCAATAAAGCTCAACAATAGAAGACCACTCAATGACCTCATTTCCAATGCAAAGTTTGTGGGCCTGGAGATTGCTCTTGGTTGTTTTGGGAAGATGCGGAACATCAAAGACAAAGTAAACGTGTTTGTTGTCAACTTAAAAAAATGGCATATCACCACACACACCAAGCTTACGTTTGAAGCCCCCTAACCACAGACCACAGCCTTTACTGTGAAGCCAACAGTCTTAAAGGGGCGATGCACTGATATTTGTATTTTGTGCAAATACCGCTTAAAACGAATCCCTGACGTTAATGATCTGTGAAATACCCGTTCGTTTTCACCACACGCAAATGAACTCGCAGAAAAAAATAAAGAAAAACAAGCAGAGTTCACCCCTTCAACTCGCAGCCAGAACAAGTGGCCCCGTGATCTGGAGCCGATTATATGCCGCCAATGTTGATCATAGCCATGCGCTGGGGTTGGCAAGGCACAGGACACGCGCTGAGTTCCAGACATTGTTATGGTTCGGCTGTTGTCGTCATTGCAGCGATTGGACACAGGACACTACCCGAATGTTTCTCGAGCTATCGATTATCACAAGCCCAAATCGAGTGTCCACGCCATGCTCGGGTCCAATCTATGAGCCGTATTCAAATATTGTCACTGGGCGGTACTGCTACCGCCCAGCTACGTCATCGGGTTTTTCGAAGGAGAGATTGAATGAAAACACTCGGTTTTGTCCTCGAAAATTACAGCGCAACAAAGGAATTTCTTGGTCAGTGGCGTTGCGTGCGAGTATCCTTGAGTCCCACTAGTGCCATTAAGCTCGTGTAAAGTGAAAAACATTCCAATTGAATATCGTTGCACCGCCCCTTTAAGCTCCCGAATGCGAGAAATAAGGAGACTGCCTTAAACAGAAGACGTTGGAGTATGCACAGCAGTGTCTGCAAGGGGCTAAATGCACCTCCCGGAAATTTCAGACAGCATAACAACCAAGGCTCTATCTGCAATGTTAGAGGTTCGTTCAACACCGTCATCTGTAAATCCATTGACAATGTCGTGTGCAGGGTCATAAGTTAAATTCGTTTTTTAAAACAATCTCATCGAAAATCAACTTCCACACACGTTCAAGTGCAGCCAGACAGCCCGGCAGAAACCACAACGCGAGAAGCTCGAACCAATCGGCTGCACGAATTCACGCCGAGCATGCGAGCACGCGGGCGGTCGTGCGTCACCTTGATTGATGCAAAGTCGACCGAACATGATGCAGCAGAAAGCACAGATGGACGGCAAGAACGACACAGACGAACGACGCAGGGACGAGCAGAGGCCATGCAGAATGATGCAGAGGCGACGGCGTGCAGGCAGGCAGGCCATGGCATTCATCACGTGGTTTTTGTGACGTATTTGACTTTAAACTATTTGGTGGTTTTAAGTACTTTAAACAATTTTAAAGCATTGCCATTTAAAAAAATAAATACTTTTCACACAAAGCGTTTTAATTATTTTTAACCAAATTGCAGAAAAGCGCCACGTAGCGGAGGGTATGAAACGCACTATCTGGGCCGCGAATCGGCTCCTGTGTCCTCTCTTTACGTTTACTATATTACTCTATGGTCGGGCTAAAACAAAGATAAAAGTATATCCCATGCTTCCAACACCCGAATAAAAACTAACAAACTTAAGCAGTCTTCGCGGCTTCGCGATAACTTGTGATAAACCCATTGGCCAGCACTTGACAGAAATTTGACGCTTACTTTGCATGCGTTTGCAATTTTTTTTTATATTTCTGAAACAAGACAATGAAGATGTGGGCTGTAAATGTGACATAACATTTTTACAGATATGTGAGGAAAAGGTATACGTTTACTTTTAGTTATATATTTTTTAGACTGAACCGCGAATTGTGAACTGAGATCATGTTGGAATCATTACGTGCGAAAGAGCTGAAAGTAATGCTCGACGGCTTTACAAACTCATGCTAAAATATGAGCGCCAGAACGGAAGCAGACCGAGATAGTCTTGCCAAGGGAACAATAAAATTACTTAAAAAATATAAGTCGGCGTATTTTGCTAACCGCTTCGAAACGCCGCGCCCTTCGTCATGTCTCCCTTCCGCCTTAATCACACACCCCCCCGCTTTTACAGAGTGGACCAGTCCGCCAAGTCTCGTTCCCAGAACGCCGCGGCGACCGCTGCGCCCCATGCGGCATTTTGCCTGCTCCGCCAGCGTTCACGTTGTCGCAGGTCAAATTGCCTCTGACTGTACTACCTTTTTTTCAAAAATATGTAACATTCAAATGTGAAAGAAAATGTCACTCGGTTTCTTTTTCACACTAGATAAAAAGTAGCAATTAACTTTGGCAGATATTTTTGAAAAACTGGTAGCGCCTCACAAAGGGCTAACGCAAACGCACACCTTTTGCGTTTGCTTCTATGCGTATTCTATGCGCAATACTAAACCTCTCCAGTAAGGTACAATCCCATATCTACTGCACCACTACGTTGGGACAGTGAAAGTGTGTTGTTTGCATTCGAAAATGACATTTCGCGAGTAATGATAGCGAGCAGTTCCGCCGTGCCCGCTGAGCATGCATGGAGAATCGGGGCACCCTGACTAGAGCGCTTCCCGTTTCCGCCGCGGGAGGGCGAGCGTCGAGCTGGAGACGCGAATTCGAGGGAAGCGGGCTCCTGAGAGCTGCGCCCTAAAAGAACATTGTGAAAGGAACGCTCGGTAATAATTCGATCGGTTACACAGACCCTGGACGATGGAATGGGGTTCCACAAAATTGTCGTTCTAAGAAGAAAATAATTATAGAATGTTGTAGTTTTAACGACAGGTAGACCCATTTTGTTTTGCTGATCGAGACGCGACGAGATGTAGGACGGAGGGGCTAGTAACCGCTTGTAAGGATCGACGAGGGTTCCGCGGGTGGATCGTTGGCACCAGAGGGTCTTGGCTGGTGGGAAAGCGTTGGCGTAAACACTTCCCCTGGTGTGCGACCTCGAGAGACAGGCGTACTTTACGACAAAAGGTTCAGAACCAACGCTTTTGACCGAGAGAATTGGAGCGTGCGTCTCGGGCCGAATGAATGCAACGGTTCTGGCTGGCACCATTTACATCGGGGTAGTCTTTCTCGCCCGCGTTTTAGGGGGCACTGTAGATCGGCTACGTCACACTGCTTCTGGCAGAATGAAGGACGGGATGGCTCAGTCGGTGCTTTTCACACCGTGGTCGGCTGTCTGACTCGCCTTGCGAGTTCAAGCTATAGTTTGCTTGCATCCGAACCCGCCTGACCTTTGGCCGTGAAGTCTCACGTGTGAATGTAGGCAAATGCCTCATGGTGACAAAGTGGGCCGATTGGTTGTGGCCTTTCTGCTAGTGGGAAACACCGGTCTGACGACGCGTCGAGGACTCGCCGGTCCACTAAAAGGGGATGGACGAACGAGTGATTTTGAGTAGAAACGCATCAAAGGAGTTTAGTTCGTGCCGAAGCTCGAGAGCTAACGTTCCGTAATCGAGTCAGGTCGTCAGATTCCCAGAAACTTTTGTCCCCGTAATCGAGACGTAATCCCACGAGTCAGTCAACTTGGATAAGCTAACACCCGAGCACCTCTTTCCCAGCACCGTACAGGGGAAGTTACCTTTTTGCAGTATTGTTTCGTTTATGTATTTTCATTTGCCACAAAATTATGAAATTGTTTAACGAAAAGTAACTACCAAGTTCAACTGAATTAGGAGTCGACAGCCAAGGGAAGCTAATTCGCCTCCGACCAAACCCACCCAGCTTCCCACAGCCGAGTTCGTTACCACATCAGTGACCTGATAACCCGGACGGCGCAGTGACCCAGCAAAGAACCCGTACTCCGCTCATGGAGCGCTCGATTATGGTGGTATACTTTATAGAACAAACAAAGGCGGAAGAAGTCACGGGGCAGTGCAAGGTTATGCAGGTCTAAAGTTAATTTCATGGATGTTACACTGTCAGTGCGATGATAGTAAGGATGTAGCGAGCAGATCTATTTTGAATAGCTTAAACTGCAGAAGTTAATACGTCAGGGCCGGATCCCAAGTTGAAGACGCATATTCTAATTTAGCACGAACGAGGGTTGTGTTCAGAAGTAGTTCAAGAGATACGGGAACGGACGGAAATTTACGTCTGGGGAAACCTAGCATGCGATTAGCATTACATGTTATATACTGGCTCTGCGCTTATTTGGATAGATTAGATGAACGACCAGATGTTCACCGAATATCTGGTCGTCCCTGGGCTGCATCAAGAAAGATTAGTCTTTAAGAGAAATGAAGCTGGTTCAAGCAAAGGGCGGCACTTTTTCGAAAGTGTCGAAGAAGCGCGCCAACTGCAATCGGCGTCTTCATGTAATTGCCAGCCGGTACGGTAGTCACAATCGTCTTGAAACCTTGAAGGCGACAGCTCGAAATATCGATTTTTAATTTGTTTTTATTTCGCTCAATAAACCCGTTGTTCTCTAAGAAGAACGATGGCTTGTTTGGATGTTTCCTTCCTTCAGTATAAACAGTTAAAGCGTAATATAGTGTACTCATATTTATTGCATGCAAAGTCAAAGGATTGAGATGGGCTAATTCGAGTATCCAATTCACCCAGTGGCAAACTTTCCTAATGACAAATGCCCTTATGACAAATGTTCCGCAGTGAGGAACGGGCCTATTACCCTTCGGCCTATGTCGAATCCGCGCATAACAGACAGGCCTACACCCAAAAGAAAGCTCAACCGAGCTTGAAAACACGGCCTCCGTGCCTAGGAGGATGCACGGCGACCGAGAGTTTGTCGAGCGGGCGATTGAGCCGCAAATACGTCAAGTGAAATCGCCCCATAGAAAGAGAGAAGATCCGGGCTCATTCCCACAGTGAGCGACAAACCATACAAAGACATCCGTGTTTTTTTTATGCAGTAAGCATTATGGGAGACATTTATTGATATTCATGGTTAGTCTACACTGAGGGCCGATCATTCCCTGTACGTTCTCTCCGGCATGCTCTTAAGAAGGGTGCATTTCCCGTTTATGCAGGCCTGTGGAGAAAAAAGAAAAAGAAAAAAACTTTTTGTAAGAAAAGGGCAGCGGCCTTTATCTTCAAAGTTATATAATTCATCAAATGCTGTCTCTAAGGAGCGATTCTCTACATTTCTTGGAAAGTCGTTAAACTGTTGCTTCGACTAGTGTAGACGAAACTATTGCGTATTACTTTCCTCGCTGAATTCAGGTGGAACATTTACGTTACTTGCAGTCGGGTCACGCTACATAATGTTCGTTGCTTTACTTGGCGAAAAAAAAAAACTGTGCTGTCGTGTAGGGCAAGGGCCGTCAATTACCCCACTAAAGGGGGAGAAGAATTCAGGTACAATACAAGCGATTTTTATATCCGTGCTAAATTTAGAAAGGAAAAGTACGGACGTACAGACAAACTTCCAGGATACGGGGGTCACATTAAAAAGTACTGCATGTTTTAATTTGAAATATAATCCGCTTTTTCATAATTTAAAAAAAGAAAAAAAAAACGAAAATGATGATAATTATAAATATTGCGCAACATGTGAATGCCATACCTTGATTTCTTTTAATCGAGGCTATAGTGTAAGCAGTGTACTTTTTTAATATGTCTAGTAGGCACGGAAGCCCCGATCGAAGTAATTTGCCAATTAGCCGGAGAAGCTCCGTAATGATGCGGTAGAGAGAGATTGGTAAAACAAATTTGATAAGTGAAGCTCTCGCCCGTACCATAATGAAATGTAAGTGGCAGCCTTATAGTCATCGCGCGAACATTGTTCACGCGAGCCTGGCACATCTCTGCAGAATATGTAGCAACCTTGACGCTCTCACTGTCCATCGCGTGTGTCTGTTCACCTTGTATTGTGTTGTATTTTTGTATTGTATCGTATTGGATTGGATTGCATTCCATATTATTCTTTCATGTTGCGCGATGTTGTTTTGTGCGTTGTATATTTATTTTCCTCACTCCTGCAACAACTGCAGCAGAGCTGCGGCAATTTAAAATAAAAAATATATATATATAAGATTTATATATATGTGCGAGTGCCTTTATGTTCAACAGTCAAATAATTTTCAGAAATGATATGTACACGGCAACTTAGCTTTGAAATAGGGGTAACTGAGCTTATAAAATATAAATGGTGCAAATACTTTAATAACAAATTTTTCCTTGAGTTCAGCACGTGTTGCTTGAAAAGTCGGTCCAAACCTACGACAAAACTATTCATAACACGAGCGTTAAATATCATAGCGAGTCTCGAAGCACCCGTTATTATGTCATTTCAAGTTGACATCAAGGCTTAAGTTTGTTAGCATCGAGAAAGACGTTTAAGGGAGGAAGCTTCTGAAATGCATTTTAGCCCAGCGCGAGAGTCTAGAAACTATCGGTTCCTCATCATACTATTTGGTTTTAATTACCTTCTTGGGGTCTCTCTTGTCGCAAGGAACCCCGTCAAGCGCCGCGTGAGTCCATGAATGATAGCCTCCTCGTCGATTTTTGGCCGTTCTACACGTCTGTACGCAATCGGACAGACCTGCTTTCTGTAAATGAGAAAACAATACAAACAGTTAGAAATGTTTCACGAAAATAATTATAAAATATGTAAATCGTGAAAAGAATATTCACATAACAATGCGCCCAGATCCACTTTCCCACTTTGAAACGGGAAGGCAAATAACTTAAATCTAAGGATGGAGCTGGTAGAATTACACTTTCGAAAATATTACTTGATTTATTTTATTTCACAAATAAACGCATAACAAGTTATAAAAATTAAGACATTCGTAAAGATGGGTATGCAAGTTTAGATAATCCTATAAGGTCTTGCAGGTTGTGTATTTGTAACATTAATTTGTAACACGAGGCCAAAAATATGTTAGACCTAAAACTAAAAATGTACGATGGTACAATCAGCCTGACGTTGACATGTGAAGTAAAACAACATGTTCACAGTCACATCGTACACGTAATTTTTGGTCCTTACGATTCGCCGGCATCAAAGCAATTGACCTACCCAGAGCTGTGTGGGAAAGTAAACTTAATAAACATTTCAGAGATTTTTTTTTTTTTTTGGGGGGGGGGGGGGGGGAAGTAGTGCAACGTTTATAATAATAATAATAATAATAATCTTTATTTTTCGGGTGCCCTAAAACGGCCGAGCGGCCTTCTCTTAGGTACACCAACTTTATATAATCACCGGGCTTCATAAACCGTTTTCGCTTTGTTTTGTTACTTGCGATACCCTCATACATTTATCAAACGTGGAAAACGTGAGAAACAACCACGGACACCGCGTCGTTATGGAATGGGTGGGGAATGGACTTGCCACACAGCTCCAAGATTTGGTTCCTCCCGGCCAGGATCACGTCACCATATTTACCACGCTTTAAATGGCACGTAAAACTTGTCTTTTCTTACCAGTTCTAAACTAAAACGCATGAAAGTAAACAAGTACTACTTCTTGAGTCATGCCGCCTTTTCGCTAAATGTCAGAAATTGCTGTTGGCTCTCGTAACGACTTCTTTCCGATGTAGCCCATACGCTTGTTTTCCCACAGAACACTTAGAGAGCCAATCACTGCAATCCGCAAATGGGGAGGTCGAAAATAAGATTAAACTAAAAGCTCAATCCACGATGTGACAATCCACACATCGTTTCACACACAACCTTGACATTCAGTGTCACATTACAGCCTTCGTTTACAACTCGTAACATAGTTTTGGCCTTGTCATTCATCGTGCTTCCTCCTTACATTCTAGAGATTTTCTGTCTGAGTGCGCTGCGGTGAAGTAGACGCCTGTAAATTAATCAAATGTATCTGCAAGCCTCCAACAAAATTAAAATACGGCCCCCGACAATAGAAAGTGAAAGCTTAACTACTAATGTTTACTTAACAAGATAATTATGATAGTTTGTCTGCAACGAAATGTGTATATAAATCACATTTAGCAACCTTTAATTGCTGGCAAATCATGATGGTTGTCCCACACCTCAGTTTACGCCGGTAGCGAAAGTTGTTCTCTCAAATGTGGTATTAATTCAAAGTTTGCCGTTATTATTGTAAAGACATTTTTATCTTTAAAAAAATAGCCATTTAATGGGTTTTTAATAGAGTTTGCTGACCTAACATGCTGCAGACTATTGTCATACCTTATCGCTATGGACACCGCGGTAAAGCGGATGCATGAATTGACAGAAACTTGTTGGCGATATCCTAAATCCGGGTAGAGATATTAGGTTTTTTACAGGATTCTTGGCATTGAGTTTGTAGAGGCAGTCCCGCTCTCTGAAATGCAATTTTAAAACGAGGGTTAATAAATTATATTATTAGTATAAAGTCAAGATTTTTTGCTTCACGCTCAGCTTGACTGCAGTCGACGATACGGACGAATGAAGCCAATTTCTCAGTGCCCAAAGCGCATTGTCAAGGCTCTCATTTTCTTAGTGGGTTCGATAAATCAATCACCCGCAGTAAAAAAAACAGGATTACGGCGCAATCACTCTGCGTGATTGGTTTACACGAACGACAGCACCAGCCGAAAAACAATGAGCGCCATGACAATTTATTTTTTTCGCGGCTTCATTGGCTGCATTAAATCGTAGCGAGGGCTGGGGTGGCATTTTGTGCGATAGTTTGATAGCTCACGTATATTCCGTTGATAATGGAGGCAAAATCGCTTCAATAAATAATTGCTAAACTTAATCTGCCGTAGCGCGCCTCCATTATAAAGCGCAGTATTTTGGTTCCTCAGTATTCTTAATTCTGTCCATATTCTAATGTCAGCCGAGCTTGAGCGCAGGAGTACGCCAAAGTGCATCTTGTTTTTTTCCGCGACAAAACCCGAGTCCTTAGCGCATGGCAAACTCTAATCTAAGATTTGCATGAAAGTGTCAGAGTGATATGACTACTCGTGTTTTTTTTTTTTTTTAATAATAGTGTTGTGTATTTTAGTTTTTCTTCTTCAATTTTGATGGTTTTTTTGCGGGCGATGAGGGCGGGGGGGCGGATATTTCCTCCACATATTTGGTGTTTTTATACGTCACTTTCGTTTTCGGTGAGAGCACGATATTTATGAGTGCAGGTTTTAGTTGATCTTGTTCTTATATATTGGTCATGGGTCCGTTCTTAACTTACAGACGTGGAAAGGACGGGACAATACATAAGAGCTTATGTAGAGTAAGAGAGGACAAGGAACCTGGGTCTTCCCAGCCTCCAAGAAACAGATGCGTGACCCAATATTTTAAAAATAAACGTCGCACCATAGTTTCCGACGGAAAAAACTGCGGTCTTGAGGGAAATTCATTAAAAGGTCATCTTTTGCATGAACAACCCAAAATAAAACGGCGCATAAAAATTCGTCCCAGCGGAGCTTGGGTCTCTTTTTTATTTAGATTCGAAAAGCGCCGAAACTACAAGCACAACAGGAAGAGCTGGACGAAACGAACCGCATCGTTTCCCCCACTTAATCCTGTGTCCTTGTTTTGATCTTTGTCGTTTTTTGAACCTAAGGTGTACAAACTTGCCCAACTACAAATTATTTTACTCTTTTATACTTGGTTCACCTCTAAGTTGAAAGTGGGGAGCGAGTTTAGCGCCCGTATAAGTATAAAGTATAAAGGCGCTTTCCGTTCATCACCTCATTCCTTTTCCTTAGCGTGGGCATGGGCGGGAGCCTGATCACGTGGCAAAAGGGAGACGTCTGATTAGTTCAACGCGAGAACAGTTTCCATCGCACTGGCAGCCTAGGGGTAAAATGAGTATGGTCAAGAAAAAACTTCTGTTTTTAGCTTTCCTGATTTTCCCAATTTAAAAACAAAAACGGTGATGGGTTACTTTTCGCTGTTAATCTGTGTACACACCGAAAACATAGAACACTATGGGAAATACACAAAACAAACTCACATTAATAGCATAATTAGTAGGGTTTCGTGTTTTCGGGTTTATTTTTCTTCGAACTTGGGGGAGGTTTTTTCGGGTTTACTTTTTGCTGTGGACGGTTTTTCTTTTTAAGATAACTTTTGTTGTCTGACAAAAACACAATAGCATACATGGGGGCTTAAGTTGAAAAAAAAGACAAAATTAACGATATTTCTTAGCATGTTGGAAATGTGCGGGTGTCCCAAATGCATTGGAAACTGACCATAAGATTATTTGTATACTTATTTTTATTCATTTATTAGTTTTTTTGTGTTCGTTTGTTTATTGTGCCCACCAGCAGCCATTAGCCTCAAACGGTAGTGCACAAAAATATTCAGAACACAACGCTGAAAAACAGATTATAGCGAGAGTGGTATTCTACCTTTGATCGAGAAAAGGTAATAATTAAAAATGTCAACGAACGATTCGTCAGGATGATTAAATAAGTCGTGAATTCGAACTAGTGGGGAGAAACAATATATCAAAGATGTTGAATTAATCTGAGACTGGGTTAGAAAAAAACATCAAAACGTAGAAGAGACGGAAAATAGAGAGGACGACGTCTCAAACTGAGCTTCCTCGTTCATTTAGTCTTCCTCCTTATATAGTCTCAATGTCAAGGTTATCACCACCAACACTCTAGAACAAAGTCTATACAGTTCAGGCGACACAGTCTCTATCACAGATTGTAAGAATGTGGAGAACCTTACAGGATGACGCGATAAGGCAACATCCATCATCCTTCAAACTTGAACAAAAGAGTCTCTCTTCCCTTCTATTTTAAGCACAGTTGCAACTTATGGTTAAAAAGACGCCCTCTCCGCCTACTGCCCCCATAAAGACGCCGAAACGGCCTTCGGGCCGTCACACGTCAGGCAGCAAAAAAGAGCAATAAAAGTGTGCTTTAAAGTCATTTTGGATAATCACAATCACATTGTTCCCAGTTCAGACTTCGAAACACACATACAGACAAATTGACATTACATTTCTAGGAATATTTTGAAATCCTTCCGAACTGTAGCTAAGCCTGACTTAATCAATTGCCTAGAAATTTCGTCCGCACAGTCTCTCTTACTACTCTCTTTTTATCGTTTCTCACTTTGTGTATGATTTCGGGCGGCGGAAAAGAGCTCACCGGAGAAACGCTCACCGGAGACTAGCTTACCGGAGAAAGGCTCACCAGCCCCTGTGTGGTTGCCAAGAAAAGCTCACCGAATATTTTTTCCCCTTCGCTTAGCGGATTGGGCGTCATATGTGCAATTTAACACACTTAGAATTCGTCACTTCATAAAAAATAATTGTCCTCATTTTTGTAATATTTCGAGGTTTATTTAGCGTATTCACTAATTCCTCTGAAACTACTATTCACCCGTTCTGTGTATTAATGACGCTGGAAATATAAACCCGTAAAAATGGCACCCGTAAAAAAGAAAATAAATGATTGACAGCTTGATAGAGCGCCGTCGGTAGTTCTGTCGGATAAAGACGTTTTTTTTTTTTTGCCAGATATTATGAATAGCGTTCTGTAAACCGTTTCAGCTCGGAAGATTGTGTGGTGCCTCAAACACGAACTCGTCTCTGAAACGTCACGGCGCGGTGGCGGCGCGTCGGGCGCACTTCCGGTCTGGGGCTGTGGGAAGAAGCCACCATGGGGCACGTGCATTCCTGTGTTACGTTGAAAGAAACCGGACAAAAACGTGCTTTTTTGTCAACCACAAGTCACGACTAGGGCTGTACTAAAAGAGTCAGGAAAGGTTTGAAGGTCAGTTTTCATGCCTTTTGCGCCCATGGAATCGTGGTTCGACAGCGTCAAAAGGCCGTCGGACCACGATTGCTTGTGCGGGAAGCACTTTGTCTTGAATTCACCGGTTCCGGAAGAAAAGTCCCCGGAAAACACGTCCCCGGAAACAATGACCCCAGAAAAGAGTCCCCGGAAACTATGTCCCCGGAAAAAAAGACCCCAGGTGGAAAGTAGGAAAAAATGTCCCCAAAGGGACATTTTTTACACTGTCGTATGATCCGCTTTTGACTTTTGTGTATGAGTCTAGAGTCTGTCATTTCAATCCTGATTTTGTAAGATTGCATCTTAACTGTTTTTGTTTGTTTTTTTAATCAGAAATACAGATTTATAACGCTTCTAGCCAAAACCAAACTACTGTGTTTGGGGAAATTTGAGAGGTACTTGTGTACCATTTCCAAATAGGTAAAAAGCGTGACACTTAGCACGAACAAGCGATTGCTAGTTTTTTTTTTATCGTTTTTTCATAGAAACGAAAGGTTAGTTGTCATCAAAGCTATTATAGGTACTGAAAGTGCTTATTGGTGTACATAATTCACACGGTAAAATTTCGTTCCCACTAATACTCTTTCTAAGTAAAATGCGAAAATATGCTGATGTCGTGTTCGCGCTAACAGTGTCGCGATGTGTACATCGCGGAATCGTATATTTCCTTATTTTTTGGGGCCGTTTTTCCTTACTTGACACACGGTGGCTTTTTCCCAAGGACGCATGACCGGACCGTCCGAAGGCCATAAGGATCAGGGAAACCCAGAGATAGAAAATCCTTTGGGGACATTTTTTCCTACTTTCCACCTGGGGCCTTTTTTCCGGGGACATTTAGTCCGGGGACCTTTTTTTCCGGGGACATTTTTTCCGGGTACATTCTTTTTTTCTACACCCGAATTCACGGATACTTGTGGTCGTCACATTTATTTGTTTCGTTCCAACATGAACGCCGGAAAACCGTCAAGTTGCACGGGCGATCTTCGGAGTACGTTCAGTGCGTCATCGCGTTCAAACGGCCGCCTCATCGTTCGAGCTGTCGTCTGCTCTCTCAAACGTTTCTGCTTGTCGTCTGCTCGTTCAAACGACAGCGGCTTGTAGACCAAACGTTGACCCGGTAATTGTGGTAAGAAGTACAGACCTCAAAGGACGCTTAAGTTTGAAGCTTGCTTCTGGCAAGTAGGCTTACTGTAAACAGTAGATACAATGAGATGTTGATCTTTGTTACCTGTGGCCATCAACGACTTGCTATACCTGGTTCACTCGGTCCGATTCTGCTTGCGAATTTCAGTATCGGCGTCGACATCTCAGCTACGGTTCAGGCTTTTGCAGTCCGAACGACGTCATGACTGAAAATAGCGAGCAGAACCTCACCATATGAATCAGGCTTTAGCGTCCATTCTGCGATGTCCACTCGGAATGAATCGCCGCATACAACATTATTCACGCCAAGTTTTGCGGTGTAACGAGCATCGTTAATTTCGTTGATGCCGCTCAAGTAGTCAGACATTACCTGGAAGACGTAAAATCAACAATTCCAGCGCGAAAAAGAGCGCGGGGACTCACACCGACGCCGACAATATCCCGTTTCAATGGTTTGTTTATGGGCGACGGCGAGCTTCTCGCCCACACCCCCATCTCGCATGCGCGGCGTCGGTGTCGTCCGCTAGGGGCGCTCCGGTTTGTTTGTAAACATGAGTTGGTGTATAGATAATTAGGTGTTTGTTGATGTAATCAGTGTCGACTACGCTGTTTGCTCTTTTTATTTCTCATTAATAATACTTCAGTTGCGAGAACAGCTCCGTCCTGCCGTGTTTGTTGTCTTCACTCCGTCTTCGTCGTTTGAGCGGTTTTTAACGTGTATAACGCTTACCAACTCCTCCAATTCGCTACCTTACAGAAGCATACTTCTTATATAGGTCTTGACTAACAACGGTGACAGTGTGCCACACTGAAGGTTATGGGGGGTTCGTCGTAGAAGGGCACTATCACGCTAAGAGAACGTGTGGAAAAATCAGCACGAACGGCCAGAAAACGTGCATGTTCGTGGAAGAAAGAAATTTCGATATCCTACTGACCGTTCTATTCTGTTTTTAAAGGTTCACAAATTCTTAAAAAAATAATTTCAGGCACCAAGGTGTAGCGTTCGCACTTTCGAATTTTTGCAATAGTTTGAATTTCCAGGTTTTAGGCAGACATTACTAAGTTTATGAACTTTTTCCTCTTCTTTTTCAGTTAGGCTTTCGTTGCATGGAGAGTAAACCACAAAAAAATAAAAAAAATACTTGCCCGCCATTATTAATTTGGGAGAAATATACCCAATAAGCTTAAGAAATATTACAGAAAAAGGACATTTTCTTTTTTTTACAAAAGTGACTAAAGAAAAGAAAATCGGTGAGCTTTTCTCCGCATACGCTCAATGGCCAGTGGGCTTTTCTCCGCATTCGCGGGTTTCGTGGTGACCTTTTCTCCGGTGAGGCTTTCTCCCGGATTCATGATTTCAGTGTCCGACCAGAGCGCCATGCGGTTGTTACATTCATGAAGATGTTTGCGATTTCTGAGTTTTCAGCATTGTTCTTCACATTTCTTTTCTGTGCGTTTGATCTGTCATTAATGCAGCGTGACGTTTGTCCTACGTACTTAAAACCACATTCCAATGGTATATCATACACAACACCATTCTTGCAACATATATTTTTTCTGATGAGCCTTTTCTCAATGTTTCTAGGTCTCAATCTCAAGGTCATTACCACCACCACAAAAATACTTCATCCTTTTGTGTTGGTAGTGATGAACTTGAGATTGAGTCTACATAAGGAGGCGGATTAAAATAAAAAGGTTTCCTGAGTTTGAGACTTCATCCTGTCTATTTTCTGACTCTTCTACGTTTTGATGTTTCTTCTCTACCCCCGACTCAGGTTAAATCAACATGGTTAGTATTTACCAGCTCACCTGCACCCTTACAGTATTTCCTCTAAATAATACATATATCAGATTAATAACGAACCTGCGATTGCGGCGAAAATATCTCACAGGAACGTTAATCTGTATGCGAGATTTGACAATTGATCAGTCGTAATACGCATGCAGGCACTTCAACAAAGTGTTATTGTACGAATATTAAAGTACATTCTAAATGTAATTGTAAATTAAATATTAAGTTGCAATTAATCATTATTTCAGATCAATATTAATTTATGTAACAGGGACACCGGATGGCGTTCCCAAAGAGAGCCGCACGGTTTCGGAAGGGTAGTTGGGGGCCGAATATTCCGCGTCAGCAAAAAATGAAGCGATATATAAAGTTATCTTTTTGCGAAGGTTGGCTGTTGTCTAAACACAGCTCCAATTCTGAGCTTTTTTAGGTTTTCTATGATTTCGATAAATCCTGTTCGGGGGCTTTTTCTCGACGTTTATCGGTGAACACCGAAAATTCGGATCCCTAATATTTCGAAATATGTCGAACGATTGGCTTTCACTCACTTTGCGACGAATCGAATTGATTCTACGCAGCAGGGAGAAAATTTGAAGTGGTTTTTGAAGTTTATGACGTAGCTCATGATGTAACCGTCGTCCCAGGGGCACTTCTGGGATCCCGGATGTCCTGGCATTGTGCCATCCGGGGGGTCCTCGTCGTGAGCGCACCCTAGCCTGGTTAACAGAAACAAAGACAAATGAAGGTGGTCATATACACCGCGGGAAGTGGAACGTCTGTTCGTGAACACGAAATGTACCGGGTATTTTACCCAAGCTCTTCACAAACTCTTTAACATCGTCTGGTTGAGCGAAATAAAACACAGGCGCATACTTTCGACTCCGGTCGACGTCAGAGATTAAGAAAAACATACTTGTTAGCTAACTAGTTAGATAAGGTTTACTCATTTACTTGTAGTTGGCTAAAAGTAACAGATAGATCTTATTATACACTAGGTGGGCATAGACGAAAACCACTATCTGTATATTAAATACTTAGAGCGGTTGGTTCTTTTCTCCGGGTCCCAAAAAACGCACTCAAATCCGACGCGCCTGCACGTTTCTTTTTTTTTTTTTATCATCTGCGTTGTTGCACCGTCCGTTAGACTGGCGCCTGGAGCATAAGTAGCAAATTTAACTTACCACTGCCCTTCCCAAACACTACATGCCTTTCTAGGCGTTCGCTTTAGAAGTTTTTTTCACGATGCTTACCTCTTTTTTGACTGAAGTCATATGTTAATTTTCACTCTATATACTAAGTCCATAATTTTATTCTTTTTAATTACTAATTAGTATGTTCTCAGATCACGACGTCGGCCGCGCCTAAATTATTTTCCCGGAATCATTAGAAGAGCAATAAAAGCGGGAAGCGTGTTGGGTAGCTAATACCAAAAGCAAAGTCATAAAGTACTTAATGGAAGCTGCGAGAGTCCGTCTCTTAACCACCCTTAAGTGGCCTTTATGTTTTATTTTATGAGTTTTAGTGGGTGCTTTAGTTAGGTGAAAGGGGGCCGCTAATGATTGTTTAGAGTCGAAAATCAATCATCGTTCTTCTCTTTCTAAAAAGCCAAAATCATCAAAACCTTCATCCGTACTCTTATGTTTCAGAGGGAGATATCACTTTAATTCACGAGAGGACGAAGGGACATGTAAAGTATTTGATTAGCGAACTGATATAAGAAAAGTTATCGCAAGTATGTTACATACGTGACACGTTGTAGCATCACAAACGTTAAACGATACTTTGAGTTCTTAGACGCCAGACGCCTACGTTCAAGGCGCTCTTCATTAGATGGTATAACGCATACCACATGTACACTTGATAGTTGTTCCTGGAATGAAGCGATACTACCGCTACTCGGGCTCATAAACCTGGCGATCATCAGAGCCTTCCATTCTCGCGCGCTTTTCTTCCTCTGTGCGCCCATGGTGGTCGAGCTCCTCCTCGCCTACCCCTCTGGTCACATGACCTCCCCTTTAACCAAGCACCGTCAAGCGCCTCACTCTTCCTCTCCCACCCGTCGACTAGTCAGTGTGGAACTTCGCGGCAACGCTTTTAAATGGGCTGCAGGAAATTCCAAATAGCTAGCCAAAGAACGTTGAAGCTAAAATATTACGATGTTAGCGACATCGTTTTTGGATCTCTGCAGTGATAGTCACAAATACCGCAATCCATTCTGTGCACCAATAGGTTCTTCGATGATGGTTCAACGTGTCCATTACGAGGTTACGTATCGAATATTTAGTCGTTTGAGATTATTTAATGAAACTTGTGTTTTATCTTCTTAAGTTTCCGCAAGCACATATGCGCGTTAGCGCGTTAGCACCATATGTCGTTTTATGAATTGCTTCCACGTACAAAGAGATATGTTAATATGCCAGGCCGCCTTGATATCAAATAACTAGGTTTAATTTGTTATATAGACTTTCGGCACGTGAACAATATATATATATATATATATTTTTTTTTTCAGCAAACATCAAAACGCACTAAAGGAAGTTAGAGAAAACTGCTGATTCAGATTGAAGAAAAAAACTTGATTCAACTAGCACCGAATAAAACTAATTTCGAACAACTTAGATGAAATTGTTGGACACCCTATCCTGGAACTACTTCACTTCTATAATTTTGTGTTGTAGTCATTAGTGCTGTCCAAATTCAATGTGGTATATCTTCATTTTTGACCTTCCAGTTGAGGCCTCTGCTTAATGAACTTTGCAAATGCAGAACTATATATTGTCTGACGTTAATTTGTTAGGAAAATTTAGAATTAGTGTTATTATCAACTATGTGGAAACGAGTGCGTATTAAGATATTTTATTAAGCTAGGTCACACCTTATTATGGAAGCTGCATAGAGTTGTGACCCCGCTTGATCTTATACGTAGAAAGATACAGGTGAATTCACCAATTTTCTATATATATTAATGTTCGATAATTTTAATTCTCCTAATTGCTTGTTGCATGTCCACGAGGCGGCTAGTAGTTTCTCACTTTATGTCCTTGACTCTTTTTCTTTCATATTTGATCGTTAGGTAAATTGGCTCACGACACTTAAACAAACAAAGGTTATGCATAACATTATCAAGCGCACGTTCTGATTTGATTGCGTAAATAATTTGGACGTCAGTTTCCAAGAAACCAAAAATATTATGCATATTTGTGACACTAAAGTGCCAATGTTCTTGATAAGCTTGCGTAATTCCGGAAAATATTTGGAAGTTTATATGTTTCACTCCCACTTGACGTCCAGCCTAATATGCATATTCCACTCTAATTAACATTGCTGACTAATTTATTATACCTAATAGGGATCGGCGTTTCTAAACCGGCGCAAAACATTAGCAAACTTTTGTTATTCACCAATACCATAAAAATGGCGAGACTTGCGCTTCCTTATTTTTGAAAAAAAAAAAATATTTTCTTTCGAGTTTTTGACCTCCACTTACAAATGGGCAATTTCGTGGCTGAAGAGGTGCACACCGTCGTAGGACCTGGGTTCATCTTCGGACATTCCCACTTTAAATACGGTGCAGACTTTGCTTAAATAGGCATACCCTGTGTGAGGCACAATTCATGGGATCATTGCAATAAAAAAAGCAACCGCTGAAATCATGAATATATGCTGGTGTCACTTACCGCTGAATTGTCTCATTAAGGTTCCGTCCGTCGCTACCCCAACAATATCAAGCCTAAGGGCACGAAAGAAAAGAATTAGAATCAATTCCAAGGACTTTTAATGTAGACGGATAAAAGTCAAAGTAAACAATGCTGCATTAAATGGAAATACAAGAATGGCGGAAACCAAATTTGATCCGCAATAAACTATATGGTTCCTCGCAGCTTCAGAAACGCAAGATGTTGCGAATCCCCTGCATCTCATAATCGTTTTGCATCCAGTGAGAAAGAAATATTGCTCGTTAAGAACGACAAACAAAAAAATCACGATGAGCACGACCATAATATGTCACGCCATGCGATCTTATGCTCTCTGTGTAGTACAACATATTATGAGGTCTGTTCTAATGAGTCATTTTTTTCTAAAGGCTGTGATAAATCATGCAGATTAGGTTCCTCTTATGAACACTTGCCTCGTCACCATGCAGTCATGTCTCGTTGATATGGACCCCGTTAATAAGAATACCAGTTTATATGCGCACCATTCTCGGGGACAAACTGGGAAAATCCATGCATATTTGTTTCGTTGTTGTAAACAACTCACATTCTGGACGTTTTCTTTCGAAAAAGGCGGTGTCCATATTAACAAGACATATTATTTTTGTCAATTTATTTTTATTTCTGTATACTTTTTGAAAGTACTCAGCTCTGTTATCAAGTATCTCAACAGTTTTGAGCGCCCTGGCGTTAAGGAGCTCGTGTCGCAGAAAAGCCGGCCTCGGCGGCGTGGCAAAAAAACCGGCGTCGGCGGGGTGACGCGAAAATTTTGATTGGTCGATACGGTCATGACGTCACAGCCACATGACCTTGCACGGGAATTTCAAGAAACCCACAACGCTCACGTGAAGCGTGACATCACGCGTGGAATGAAAATGATTAAAACAGGACATGTAATCCGAATTATAGAGGTCGACCATCTCTCTAATGATTTTGTTTTATAAAGTAATTAATTTGCCTAAAGAATAATCTGAATACTTTTCGGTGGGGTTCGAACTCACGACCACTTGGTTGCGGGCCAGACACGCTACTGACTAGGCCAGGCAAGGCACACTTGCACGGCTTGGGAAAGAGCGGAAGTTTCTATGAATACATGTTTCGCTACCGCGTTCCACCCTTAATGACGAACCTTAAGCGCCGTGCAAGTTTTAATGTGAAAGCATTAACTGTTTCATGGAACGAACCGACGTCATTAGCAACGCCAAACTGCAGATAAATTCCCGATTCCCGAAGCCGCGATCTGAGGCATCCCAGCTTTGAAACCACGCAGATAGCCACCAAAAAACGGCAATGATATGAAGCCGACGCTCGTCAGTTTCAATTAGCGCCACGCCATGGCACTGCGTGCCCTCGCCGGAGCAGAAGCGGCCGCGGCGCGAAGAACGACGTTCATGCTTTCGCATTCACAACTCATAAGAAGTGCTCGGGTGTACCTCGAGCCTTTTTGGTTTCTTATTCCGTCGCTTCATCTGCTATCTAAACAGTTAATACGAGGTAGAATGAAGGGCATTTTAATTATGTTTATTCTCACCATAATTGTTGTAAACAAAACTGTTAATAACAAGCCTACTATGTGTCCACTGAACATTTAAACCTTAAGTTATCTCGTATGTCTCAAAAAAGGTTATAACATTATTTAACCGTGTAAAAGGCGAACGTCACACACTCGAGAAGTATACCGTCACTACGTTATTCAAAAACACGCATCTAAATGCAAGGCACATTGTGCGCAGTTCGGTAAGTTCCCTTATTGAAAAAGAAAACGAAAGGCGATTGCGGTAGGTTTATTTTATTTAAAATATACATTTCTATTTCTTGCGCCAAGTTCTTGAAGTGTGTTTTTAAACAAATTCATCTCGCAGGCATTGTTCACGATCACGTGGAGTGCCAATAAAGCTTCTACTTAAGAAGGGTATTATTCTCACCCTTTGTCAAGGTTCATTCATTAATGGTTTCTCGAGCAAGCTGTATGAACCGGCAAGGTAACACGACAACATAACCACTACATACCCTGTGAGCAGAAAATAAATATCGGCATTATTGAACTCTGGATCCTTTTGGTAATAGGTGTAAAATTCCGTTAATGTATCCTGAAATGTGACCATATCTCTGCTTTGCTTGTAAAATTTCAAAAATGGCTGCGCGTTTTCCTGAAAATATATATAACAAACGATAATATTAACACCAAGTTCTCCGCACGGTACTATGGGATTGTCATGTGGGTAAACGCTTCTAGGTGGTCAGAATATCAACATTTACACGACACTCGAATGAATCGTAATTCTAGTGCGTAATAGAACCCCATCAATTTTGCCGCTTGCGTGGCGGATTCGACATCGCACGTGGCTATCGCGCAGAAAAACGAAGATCAAATAATCCGGTGCCGTTCCTTTTTCTACGAATGATTGCTTTTTGTAATGTTGCGGCTCATTCTTGGCTGTTATCTTACGTTCTGGTTCAGTACCTTTTTGCACGCACCGCGTGTATGAAAGCAGCGGTAATTGAACGGGTCGGTTGTCGCTCCGTCACCGTCGCGGTATGTATACGCCCCTTTTTTCCTTTTAGTTTCAGGCAGAAGTTCGGCTTATTAAACAATTTCAATTTCAAGGCTTGTCTTATTGTTTTGTTTGGTGACACTACGCAGTAAAAACTCTTTTTGTTACGTATATTTTTATCAAACCTATCACTTAAGAAAATAAGTCGACGCAGTCTATGAGAGAGTTCGACAAATGACAGGGCTGAAACTATGTTTTGACATAAATGATCGGTTAGCGCTGTGACACTGAGAACAAAGTCTCCTCATAAAACGTCATGATCTGTACCACAACACAGACTGCTTTTTTCGGTATAAACATCATTTGAACCTCGTCACTCGCCGACTTCCCACCCTAGGCTGCAGCAATTTGCTCTCTCAACTGCTTTGCGGGGAAAACGCGCCGTATTTTTTACACTACGCGCAAGATAAATGCAGCCGAACTGGACCATTGAGCATGGAGCTCGCGCTGGTAGCCCGCGGTGCATATCATAAGGTGCAACGGATTAAGGACTGCATATACAGGTTTTTTTTTATGGAAACGCTGTCAAGGACGTGTCTTCACCCTAGCACCGTCGTTGAAAAGTTAAAGCTCATGCGGCAGCTGCCAGTCTTTCTTATATCCCCTTCTACGTGTGGTGCTTGGCGGCGCACGTACAGTCCCCCGCAATATGAAAGACCCACTGGGAGCGCCTGGCTGAGGCGGTGGTTGGCGGGGGCGCTGCAAGCGCTCCGGGCGATTCTATTCTGCTTCGAGGGGAGGACGCTCACTCAGGGCTGAGCACAAACCGATAAGCGCGCGCTTTAGCTGAGCCCCGAGTGAGCGTCCTCGTCTCGAAGCAGAATGGAACTGCCCGGAGCGCTCGCAGCGCCCCCGAAAGTTTCCGCCTCGGCCACGCACTCCCAGTGGGCCTTTCATATTGCAGCGCACTGTACGTTGCGCGTTTTGACCACATGCAGCGGCACTGCTGGCACGGAGATGCACTCCGATAAAAAAAAAAAACAAGTCCTAGAAAGGCGTCGTAAAAATAGCATATTTTTTGTAAGGCCATAAAGTTGCTCCGTATGCCTTTTATCATTGTAATTAGGGTGGAGCTCGTAGTTATCGATGATTCAAATCAGGTTTTAAATTGAAGCTATACCTTTATATTTAATAGCTAACATTTGTATCACTAATAAAGTAAATTATCATCCGATTATACTGAACGTTAATAATTGTTTTTAATCTGTCCGATTGGACAAAAAACTACGGCGTAAACTTTTTTCTTTGTGTGCGATGTGCAGTTTTCTCAGCTGCCATTTTACCTGTGTTTCCAAAAATAGCCTGTATATTTGAAACGTTATAGGTAATGTTCGATAGTTAAATTTCTTCTGTGTTATTTCTGCCAAAACATACTTTCTAGAATGAAGCCTGCAGGCAACAGCAAATTGATTTAACTGATATACCAGCTCTTACATCGTGCTGAGTGCTTTTGTCCCATTCTTTGCATTTAGTAGCTGAAAACAGCGTGTTAGCAGTGCCCAAATTCGAAGTGCAAGATTACTCAGACAATCATTCCAATACTGACCAGAAGAAATAAAGCTCTTATATGTATCTGCGTTCCCCCTCAATAGACTATTACAAGCTCTTGGGGACAAAATAAAAGGCACGATTGATTGATTTGTTGATTTGTATAATTAAGCGTTGACTTACCCGAAGAAGTGTAACGGCCACAATAGTTAATTTTACAGATGGATTAGTGACACTTTTATATCTTAGGTTTGCCTAGAAATAAACAAGGGCGCATGTAAGAAACCGTGAGTTATAGCCGCGGTATTAATTACTTTAGAATATAAAGGGAGTTTGGATGAACAACACTGTAGTTGCCTTTTCTCATACGACCTTATATCTTCTCATACGGAGCTACTCTGCTCCTCATGTGGGTAATAAATGACAATGCACTCCATGGACCCTCTCTATGCCTTCCAGTATAAAAAGAAGTTAAGTATAAAATATCATGAGCTATTCCACTCTGTGAAGGTCGATGACCAACGGAGCTGTTCAGGACACAGACCCGTCTCGAGGAGTGGGAGGAAACTAGACACGTGCGACCTGACCGCCACCCCGGGAGAGTGTAAGGAAAGGAAACTAGGCGCGCAAGTGCTTGGAACGACGACAAAGAAAATGCGGTGCGAGTTTAAAGATGGACGACGCGGGTCGCACAGCGGCAAATCTTTGAGAAAACAATATTAGGGCGAAAGCCTTATATGTCTCATCGTTCAGTCGACTTTCAAACTCCTTGAGCGAAAACACGTCGACGTCACGAAAAGTACGAGAAAACGTCGGCGACACAAAAGGCACCGAAACCCACGGTTCGCCACTGGACCACGAGATGGCGTCACTTGTGCCAGAATCGGCGGAGGCGTGCGTGCGGCGCAAACCCAGCGTGAGAGGACACTCTCGCTCGGGCAGCGGTGAAGAGCAGGCGTGCGACATGCCGTGAGATTAACGGCGCCAAAAGTGCGTCGTCAGAGAGCGCACCGTCTTCGGAGGTTCGCTATCACCGGGATCGGCACTTGGGCTTTCGCCTTCGAGTCGTCTTAGGGATAACATGAAAGCCCTGTGAAGTTTTTGGTTATTTGCTTCGAATATTTTATACGCGTAAGGGTCGCGCGTGCGACGCCGGTGTCTGCAGCAGTAACTGTATTAAAGCAAAAGCCTAAAACAAATGGCATCTTACACGAGTGTTAGTCAACCCTTTATTTCGGTTATTTACTTCGAATTTTTTACACGGGGAAGGCGTACGCGTGCGGCACGTGCGGCGGTGCCAGCGTAGAGTTTTTAGTCACTGCGCAAGAAAAATTCACGAAACTCTAGCCCCTAACAGCTTCGCTATAAAATATTAACTAAAATGGTGGGACGAGTGCAATGCATCTAACTCAAATTTAGAGCCGAAGAGCTTGCTCCTTCAATTTTCACTGGGTGCTTTTAAGGAGACGGTACTGCCAAGTTGTGCCAAAGATCATTAGAACCCAATCAGAGTCATTATGCCGCAACCGCTGGGTTTTGTGTTTCCTCATAACAAGCAAATAACAATAATAGCAGACGCTAGCTCATTATATTCCACAGAAGAACCGCACTGTAAATTTTACGTGCATTCATTTAACTTCCGGAATTTCGGCTAAACATATACACATATCCTCTGTTGTCAACACCCATTTAGGAATGTTATGACCTTCGAATATGCACTTCGTAGTTCTTATACGGAATACTGTTTTTATGTCACGTGTCTTATCAGATAAAAAGGACCACTCACCGCCGTTGCCATTACAGATAGATAGTTGATAATTTCTTTCTTGTCATAGTTGTAAGCTGCGCATGTTGTTGCATCAAGCACCACGTGCACTTCCGGAAATATAGTTCCACTGTCTCTTTGTTCTGCTACAAACGCAACAAAACAAATTTCAGCATGTGAAGCTCTTGGGTTCGACAAAGTGCAACCATTCACTAAATAAACAATTTATTTGTTTGTCTTGGATCTGTGGTGTACATAATTGATAGTGCTAACGAAGCAAAAACGAAGAAAGTCAAGATAAATGAACCTAGGAATAAATGAACGAGGCGTGCATGACTAAAGAGGGGTATAAGACTGCCTGTGGGGACCGTAAAAATGAATGATGAATGAATGGATGAACGAATGAATTAACAAAAGGTTTATATTAGGGCGGTATTATATATAACTCACTGCTATTATTTGCAATTTCCTCGGGCTCTCAGTCATGTCATAAAACATAAAATTTGAGCTTATTTTCGATTGATATTAAACACTTTCATTTACTTTTTTTTACCCGGCTAATGACTGTGAAGTTGGTTCCAAAAATCTACTAATAAATAGTATAATTGGCGCTTGCCCCGTCTTACCCATTAATGTAAACAAAGTAAACGAGGCTTCTGAATATATGTTCTAAAATCGCTCAGATAAGTTCAGTATCTACTACAGTCAATTTTATTTTTAGTCTGACAATATAACCAAATCCAGGTTGAGTTCTTCTAATGAAATAAGAGTCAAACCAAAGGCCAGCTGGTGAACAATCAAATTTAAGATGTCCCCTTTTGTTTCCATCTCTCAAGGTTTTCGTTCTGAAGTATGATCGCCGAATGAACAATATTTTCTTAAGGAATAGATCTAATTTGGGACATTCCCCTTTTGGCGCATACCCATGCCACGGTGTAAGATCTATACAGGTGTGGACACCGCGCGCGTCGAAGCAGACAGATAAAGTCCTCTCCTCGCCTTGGTTGCGGGCGGCGTCACCCGGGGGCTCTTCGGTAAGCGGCTAGGAGGAGCCTGTCGCGGGCCGTTTCCCTTGCTTCTCTATGGGAGACACGCTTGTTTTTTTAGTCTTTCTCTGGGTGCACCACCGAAAGTAGAACTCGGCATTTGCGCTACGCGTGTTGCTTAGACACTGATTCTTCATTTGCACTAGTTTTGTGTCTCAACGGTGGCAATAACAGATTCACGAACGCGCTGAAGCGTAGAGACCTCTGGCGTGGTGTTCGAACCAGCGTCCGTCAGGAACAGAGCAAACGGCCCGAGCGGGAAGACAGCTCGCCCCGGTGCCATGGCCACGAAACACTTTTTGTTGTTTCGTTTGCTTGCTTTATTTCCTTAGCTGCGCCGTTTGGACGGCGAGATTACTAGGGGGCGCGCCAATACGATGTTATCTGGTTGATCGCGTCGCAGCATTTGCCAATCAGTGTGTCCTCACCTATATATTACTCTAAAAAAGGGTACAGCCATTACATCCCTTGCCACATATAATACACCCCGACCTTTCAGCTCGGCGCACAGCCCACTGACGTCGAACTGACGGCCCCAACTTTTATGAGGGGCTTGATCACGGTGCGATATAACATAGTAAACATCTAAAGCACGTGTCAATTAGTACTGGAAAAAAATATTGAGGTTTTGCACTAGAGCCAAGGAGACCCCAATTACTTAGTTGCAGTCAGCCGCACGTACATTAGCTATTTTAATAAGTTGTGCAACTCGGCTATCAAGCTGCTCGTGAAAGTTGGTACCGTCGGTTCATATCCAACGCGCTGTACGTCGGAGTGAAGTTCTAAGGCGTATATGTCACAAGGGGTGTAAGAATACAAACGTTTTTGTGTGTGTATCATACAACGCGCTGTAGACCTTTCCAGTGGCAGTCTCAAACGAAGCGGTTTACAGCGCGCTTCCTCGTTTTGGAAGTGTACGTCGGTATGGCCAGACTGCTTTGGGCTGTGGCTTTTTTTATCAGTGGGCTGTGGCAGCCTGCATAGGAGCAATTCCGCACGCTGATAACGGCTGAACTGACGCGTTTTTTTCTGTGTGTGTTTTGTGGCGAATGGAATTTATCGAGATATTTAAAAAAGCACCGTACTATTTAAAAAAAAAAAAGAAGACGTTTACAAATTTCTGTAATTCAAAACTAGCGCGCAGCTCTTGAGGAGGACGAGGGGAGGGTACAAGGGAAAAGTATGCCCATCCAAACTGTTTTTTGTTTTTCTTGTACTAGAGTTGTTTGCAGTTTTCTTTTTTTTTTTACACCATTAAAACAAGTAAACGAACGCGTCTGACACTATCAGCTATTTTTCGCGAAGACCGGGAACATAGCCAGGAATGTTTTTCGGAGATTATCTCAATGGAAAGAAAAGAAAGCCGAACGGCCCACGCCACGGGCTGCTTGACGTTCGCTCTCTTCGTTTGTTTCCTGCGAATGGCGAGCAGGCTACGAGCCCTGGTATTCCCTAGGGTGCCTTCATGTGCGCTTCGCATAGTGTGATGCCAACTGCCTGTTTCCCTCTCCCACACCCTCTTCCAACGCCATTTTGTTCCTCTCATTGTTTCCCCGTGCGCCGGAAAGTGGCCTTTGTGTCCATCGGTCCTCCCATCCGAGGGGGAAAATGGTAATCCTCCCTCCGTGGGTTCCACAACGCTGCTCCGAACTTACGAGATAAGGTGCTTGTTTCCGGGAGGGTTATAAGCCCCACGGATTATCGCCGAGAACCAAAATGGCTGCTGGTTTGTCTGCGAGCGGTATTACAAAGGGTGGCATCACCCTAGCAAAGCGCACATGAAGGCTCCCTAGTATTCCCTCGTTCTCAAAGTGGAAGATAACACACAAAGGGTGAGCATCCTGAACAGGCAAAAAACACTTTAAGCCTTTCCACTCTTGTCAAGAAGGAAGACCAGCGGAGCTGTACTATGGTGGGAATGAAGTAATGACCGGCCGCAAGTCCGCAAGCCAGAGTGGAAAGGCGGGAGAGGTTGCCGCCACCTATGAGCGACGGCGGCAAACCCTGACAACCGGCAAGGCGGTTGTCTGGCTGCCGCCGTTGCTCATAGATGGCGGCACCTGTTCAGAGTCTAGTGTCATAATTTGTTTGCTGACGGACACGATACTGTCCCTCTTGATAGCTCCACTGTACTAGCCCTTAATAGCTCCTAGCCCTTAATAGCTCCATTGTAATAAAGTAAAAAGTTTCTACGAAAGCCGGTGAACTCCGAATGCAAAATCCTGGTGAGGAGTCGTGCTGACCGGGGTTCCACAGCTCATGCGGGTGGCAGAAATTTCTGGCTGATAGGGGTCGCTCGAGTTGCAAAATGACGGCGGTCAGGGAGCTCTTTGTCCAAAGATCTCCACACGTAGTTACGAAGTAATGCACTGTACTGATATAATTTCATGAGGCCTGCAACACTAGTGGCACTCACTTTGTTTCCCTTATTTCCGCATTTTAATTGCTGACAGCAAAAGTTTACAGATTCATAAAAAGCCGATAACTTTTTTTTGCCCTTAAGAAACTACGTAGAAATCGCTAGTTTGGAAGTACCTTGGCAATAAAAAATATATAAATTCATTACCACACCCATTCTTTAATTAGTGTTTTTCAAATATTCGAATAACTGTGGAAGGATCTTCTTTAAATAAAAATTTCATTGTGACTACATCGGTCTTGTTGCATATATATTATTTCAGCCCGGCTTTAGTCTTACCGAAAACCTTATATGTTGAATTGTCCTGAGGAACGTTATTTAGTTCATCTGGTGGGTGCCCTGTAATAAAAACATGTGAATGTAATATAAATACACGTAAAAATATTAAATGTTTGGTAATAAACAATACGCATTTATGTCGCATCAAAATATTTTCTTAGACACCCCTTACAAAAAACGTGAAAGTTAGATTACCGATGCACCATAACCTAGCATAAATAGTTAAATTAGAATTGTAAACAAATAACTTTAAAACAAAAACACAATTTGGGCAATATGTATCTTACACAGAAGAGCACCCTTCACTGTCAATGACAGTTTTAAAAAGTAGAAATTAGACGCTTTTTAAAGAATATTCATGGTAATACCTTAACACTAAATTTGACACGTATTCAAATGAAGCAAAGATAGAGTCACGTTGTATGATAAACATTTATTATTTACCAGTGATACATAGATATTCAGCTTAGCTCTATTTTTCTTGCAAATAAATAAAGCAGCTAAATGGGCAAGGCTCATATATGGTATCAAACACAGCTGAAACATTTGCCACTGGAATCTAAAAAAAAAAGTTTAATCTACCATTTGTATACAGAAATAATGGTAGACTACGAATGATTCCCTTTTTTCTATTTTCACAAAGATTATATGGAAGACAAATGTGAATAAAATAGTAGCCGAGGCGTTTGCTTCCTTTTCCGTACATGCACCATCAGCGTTTGTCAACTTTCTCCAACATTTCCAAATGTTACGCGTACAAAATTATAATACTTAAGATACTTTAAGTTTAGTTAGCTATCAGAGGGCGTCATAATTAACCGTGGTAATATTCTTGGTATTATAGTGTGGCAACTAAAATAAGGTAGCTAACATTTAACACTAATTTCCTTCCAGATGAACAAAAAATGGTCCATAATATTACCGTGATCTCCGCTGTAGGGCGTTCTTTGCTTTACAGGGAACAGCATATGGGCCACGTGACCTTCCAATGAACGCTCCAAATCTGGCATAGGTTGGATTCGCAAGTCGTGGCGTAGCAGGCCTTCCTGTTGTAGTCGTTAAGAACCATTAATTAATTTAAGACGTAATATACTGCTTCGAACTAATCACAATTATGCCAGGCTCTTGTCACATATTTATGGACATTTTATATCTCAGTTGTATTTGTTTGAGTCTGACTGAATCATGAAATCTTAGATCTTGGAAAGAACTATAAAAGATCAGAAGCGAAAATAAGACTCTTTTACAAATGGAAATTTTATCACGAGGAGTTTGTGAGCGGAAGTTGAATAGCCATAAATAAATGAAATCCTCGTTCATATGTGAATAGAGTAAACACATCTATTATTACCTGCTTAATTATTGACACAGTTTTTTATACATGCTGATTGTTAGACAGCCCGTTAAGCTCCGTCAAGAAAATATTATTAATATTCTTTGCCACTTCTGACATGATTCACTTGGTTTCATTATGCCAAGTTTTCACAGATTCCCAGAAGCCTGTTTCTTATTTTTAGCAAACGTTTTAAGGGCCCAAGCAAAAAGAGCAGTGCAAAAAATCTTTGGGTCCTCGTCGAATGTAAGCAACAAGCATACCTTATGATAGAAAATTAAAAAAAACTGTATTTTAAAATCCTGTATCGAACACGATGTTTTTATTTGAAGTACTGGGGAAGTAATCGACATGTATTACTTCACGTTCTAGCATGGTAGAAAACAAGGATGCATCAATATAATTTTGATACCCATAGTCATAACGAATATAGGAATACGCATATTATAAAAAAACAATATCTTCCTGTAACCGATATTTGCTGCCGTTTTAGGCACACATACCACATTCACTCCATCCTCGTCTTTTAGGATGACTGCCGCCATTTGTTTTGTATCGTGGTACAGGTGTTTATTATGCTCGGAGCCATCGACCTGAGTCAAATAAAAAACAAAAACTTGTGAGTTGTTTTTTTATTCATTCATTTTTTGAGTCGTGTTGTGTTAAATACAAAATTTAAACGAATATCTATATCACAAGGTTTAGCTTTGCTTACATAATTATTGACCAACGATCCATCTTCGTGTGTCCTTATCACCAGTTTTTCAGGAAACACAGACGTCCTTTCAAGGTTGAGGGTAATATCCTCATTTATTTTCAAAATTCTCTCTCCGTTTAATCCCCGGCTTTCTAGGAGTCGGGGGTATACAAGCGCCCCTTTCTCTGAAAATTAAAGGAGTGTTTATAACTCAGTATTTACGTCCCTTTCTGTTGTAAACTCGAAAAGTTATTTTTATTAGGATTAAAATATTAAAAAAATCTGTCTTTAAAGTGTGAGCCTATCAACGTTATGATTGAGCGATATTATTAGGTAGTTATTTTTGATTCTATTAGTTTATTTTATTTTTCACATATTTGCCAGCACAGAGACCAAAGCAAGTCGGTAGGAATGTTAACAACTCACTTTCAGCTATTAAAAATAATAAAAGAAACACTCACATTAGCCAGCACTAAGGGAAAAGCAAGTCGGGACGAATGATAGAAAATCACTTTCAGATATTGAAAATAATAAAAGAAACACTCACATCTGCACCACATCATTTGTGGATGGACATTTATATTCACGACACGTTTAACAAAAAACTGTTCCTAAGATAATTCGTGGTAAATCAATGAGGCAATATGAATGTTTCTTTCTTGCTTCCCTATCATAGTTTAATACGTAAAATATTTATTAATATCAAAGAAGTATCGACCATTTGCCGTGTTAAAATATAATTTCCTTCGAGAGAACATCATTAGACCGCCGTTCTATATGTGAGGGCAATTATTGGCGAACGTATGAGACGTCACGCTGTCAATGAACTCTAAAAATATACGCTGGTTTAGAAATGTTGTCTTTGTTATCGTAACTTTATGACAAATATTATTTTAAATTAATAGCCTCAAAAACTTACCGGCAAATGCAGAGCTCCACTGAGCCACTACGGCGAAGCCAAGGATCCGCAAAATGGTAGTCATTATGCGGTGTTTCTGGCAGATTTTCGCACTGAAGTTAAGTGTTTCCCTTCATTTTCACGCACCTTGTATTCTTTGTTTGGCTTTTCATGACGTAGATGTTTTCTCTTTGTGTTTTGCAGAATAATCAGTTCATAGAAATGTCGTCAAGCCTGCATGATGTCATTCTCGCGTAAGGTGAATTTCGCTCTCGGCAACACGTCATAAACAAAAAAAGAATTCTGACTTTTGTCAAACGTAGCCCATAACCTTATCTCGACATTTTCAAAAATTACGCAAAGCATCTGTCTCGCGGTGTTGACATTATCTCTTGTGACTCTTGTGCTAAGAAAGATGAACTGGTTGATATTAACACGACAAAGGGATGTACATTTACTCCATAACACGCAAAGGTACGAATTGCGGTTTTAAAATGCGAACAATCACTTCGAATAAAAAAGCAGTTCAAACTGCAAAGAAACTCAAGCAAAAGTTGAAGTTTGTCTTTTCTCTGGCATGGCAGAACTTGCTCATAACGCTTTTAACGTTTTTTTTTTAATGTTATAAGCGAACTTAGGAAGCTCCAATTTTATTATAAAAAAAAACAAAAAGAAACAAAAGCACCTGTTTCTATATTTCGCAACTTTATTACATGAAAAACAAAATCAATTGAAATAATTAAATTTTGTGTTTAATATTTTTTATATTGTTTATTACAACTGCACTTCCTGGTAAATATATTTTGGGACGTATGAGTCGAAGAGGGGGCAGGAAAGGTAACACAACTCTTGCAATGGTTGTAACTCTAGGTTTCGCTGCGTGAGCAGAGCCTGCGCATGCGCGGAACATTTCTCGAAAAAGGTTCATTCAGAGGGTTTGACATACATAAGGTAGAACCTAGAAACTTTTTGCTCTTACGTGGTCTGCTGATACATGTCAGGTCTACCACTGTTTTTGCTTTTTACTTTTTCACATGAATGAACCATGCGATTCTATAAAGTGTGTGCTTTACATGGTAGCGAAACCAAGAATCTCTATCTGCATTGGGGTTTTTATTTGTCGCACTGTTGAATGAGAACTTCTGATAGGTCGCTCGCAAGGCACAATATGGGCCTTGCGTGCGACTAGATCGGAGATATTGGCTTGCCCTATCAATCATTTATTTGTGTCATCCGACAATTCTGTGGCGCTGTAGTTATGGACTGGCCTTCTGAAGTGCATCATCAACCTGGTTGAGAAAAAATTAAGCTGTTACCTGTCTGGGTCGGATTGACGAAGGCCAGACAGGCCTGTGGCGGGAACTTCTCGGGACACTGGTTTCGGCATGCTTGGCTCACGCCCCAAGGGTCGAAAATGATCGGTTTCAAATGTAAGAATTTGGCCGGTCCCGGGAACTCATGGCATCCCTATGAACTTTTCGGGAGCCTCGGGAACTTGACGGGACACCGGTGTCGGCTTGCCAGGACATGGCACTGGCAGTACCATGCCCAGGATCCCTAGTTTTCCCATATTGATAGTAAAGAGATCAAATAATACTAAATCTTTCACATTACAAATTTTCAATCGGTTTCTTAAAGCGCATGCCGCTCTCCAACACGCTTTTATTTATTTTTTGCTATTTAAGTAAGAACAGGTCTTGAAATTGTTTTTGTTATGTCAATATACGAGCAGGTCTCGGGCATATCATTCCAGCTATTCCATACAGGACGTTACAGTTGATCTATTCGCACACACTGCACAAATAGAGCCTTCAGCGATATTTTTTCACGTAACTTTAATTTTTGTGTGTTCATAGTAACCTATTGGGTACCATGGCTGTTGACTTCTCCAAATGAAATTTCTCTTTCACTTCCACTGACGCAGTATTTCTTGTCTTCCTTTCTTTCTGAAATAAGAAAATGTTTGGTTTGACCTTTACAACACGGGTGATGTCTTAGAACGTTTGCCCAACGCGGATGGTGTTGTTCTCACACGCGGTGTGAGAACAATACGTCGTTAACAAAAATAGTGTCTGGTCTGACATTAGCTTAACATAACGCCGACGATTACCACGTACACACAAAGTGCACACGAAGCAAGTGTTTCTTCACGTCAGCACTGCCTTTCACAACATTTGCATATTTTCACTAATGTGGAAATGTATACTTTTTTCAGTAGCCAGCAAGGTTAATACATTTTTTTCAGTACGAATCACAACTTTCCAGAGAAACGAACGTTATGTGATAGAATATTAAAGGAGCTGTGCCACAATTTCAGTGCTTTGGGAGTTGGTGTCTCGACCTTTCTGAAGTAAAGACCGAAATACCGGTTTTACCTACATGTTCTAGTTTTTATTTTAAAAATTGACAAAGATTGAGGTTTTCGGCACCTCTCAACTCCTTTCCCATCTTCCGAGTCACCCGCGCTGTGACGTGAAAGGGGGACGCGCGGGGTTCCGATGAAGCTCCCTCTCTAGAGCCATCAGTGAGGAGCGAGAGCTCACCCACTCGCGACCACGTGACCACGAGCTTGCGCAGCGCGATCAACATGGCGAGAGGAGGAAAGTCAGGTCCGGCCATCCCCGTCCGGCTCTGCCCCCGTCCCCCTCCGGCTTCTGGCGGCTGTTCGCGGTAGCAGATAAAGCTGGCGGTTTTAGTGACCTCGGATAGATGGCGCCACTAAAACTTCGTACAATGAAAGTTTTGTCTATAATACCATGTTTTTTACGCATTTATAATTATATTTAAACGACAAGATTTGTAGAAAAATTGCCTTTATCGAGCAGGCATTTGCACAACTTGCTATATTTTTACGAGTCCCACATTTACGTCACGCCAAGTGGTTCCCATGGCCGCCGCTCAGGGCTTCAGGTCGCAAAATATTCTAATTTTCGCCTCGCGATTACGGGGCGGAATCGCAACATTTTGAAGGAAGGAGATGCGTTTTCTATTCTCTGTGACAAGATAAACAGTCTCAAAAGTAGAAGATTATAATTCTTTCAACGTTAAACTCGTTGCACAGCTCCCTTAAGGATATGGTAACAGCCGTTCTTTTCGTCGTTTGACAGAATCAACACCTTGGAACTTGGAACAATATTATACCCTTTCCCCAAGAGCTCCCAGATTTCTGAATCGAAGACACGAAAAAATAATTTCCGCCCGCTATATTTTAATATCAAGTGAAAAAATGTTTTACTGTGCTACGGCACTCAGAGCTAATCCAACGAAAACCTAGCCACCAGCTCGTCAAGCAGATTGATGTTTGAAGTCCAACAGGGATGCAGGATTTATCAATTCTACTAACACCCCCCCCCCCCCCACCCTCCTCTTCCGGTTCATTAATTAAAGGCGGTCCATTGCAGTCTCGGTCCCAAAGGCTTATTACGCTTAAAATGCCCTATCCTATCCGCGAATTTTTTAACTCCGGCTCACACTCCGTTGGTTGCTCCGTGTACACCCGTGAGCGATATGAAGGTGAACAGCCCTCTTCTTGTTTTTGACCTTCTACAAGTTTTGGAACAAGCTCTCTTCCAGAAGAGGGCTAGAACGCAAAGTTTAGAGTTTTTGGACCCTTGGCCGCGTACCATTTGAGACGTTAAGAGTTAATATAGCTTTTGGGGAGCCGTAAAACAGGCAAGAAACCAGGTAAGGTATTCACCTTCATATTGCCGGCAGGTGTAAAAAAAATGTATAACATTTGTACGGATAATAAAATACTATATAACTGAATAAAGTTTTCAGAAACTCTCTCCATGCAGACGCATTATTTATAACTTCAATTTTTGAATTTATAAAATGTTTTAGAATGAACTTGGCGCTTGTTTCTCTCTTGGTCATGATAGCTTTGGCGGGCATGCATCTAGATGTCCAAATCACACAGAAAAACATTAAGCGATATATGAGGACGTTCAATATTTTAAAACCGGTCTATATTTGTTTTTTACGAACAAATAAATATACGTTTTTTGACGCCTTATTCATAAACCTTTATGCAATGTCAATTTGCAAGCAGTATTACCTCCGTAGAAAGTTTGTCTTGTAAACTGTCTGCCTCGCTCGTAAACTGTAAAACTAAAAACAAATTTGTAGTCTAAAAGTAAGTATCTCGAAAATTTCGGTTAAAATAAGTAGAGGGTTTTATTAAATTAAAACACAGACAAGCTTACCGGTTAAAAAACAGGGCTTATGTTATTCGTCAAGAAAGCAAGTTTTAGGTAACTAAATAGTCTAAAGACACAAGCATTGCACTACAGTGCAATACATGCATAAGAGTTGTATTACACTAAAGTGCAATACATGTATAAGAGTTGTATTACACTAAAAGAACGTTCTTTTTTCTTCGAATAGACAGCCTACAAAACATTCCGTTATCTGTAAGAAAACATGACTTCTGTAATTGCCTAATTCCAAATATTTTTGGTGAATAAACAGGGTAAGCAAAGTCAGATTACTGTAAAAATACAACTTTCCTCATTCCTGCAAAACGGACAATGATTAAATCAGTGAAGAAATTCATAGCTGAAATAAATTATTTTATGACGCAATGTTTGTTCGCAATCGCAATGCATGGTATAGTACTAGCGTGTTCGAATGAAATGCGAACAGCAAAGCGCGTGGCCGTCCACACATGCTGCGCCTCCTGTAGTTCACTGTAAACTGATAAAACTGCTGGCTGGAGACTAGGGCTCTGTGAGGGCGTGCGTCTTGGACGTATACAGTGTTGCCAGATGGTCCCACCACACAACCACCAAACGGCTGGGTAGCCCTATGCGGGGTGTTGGGAGTTAATATCACCTCCAATCATGATGGGGGTGGGAACCCGCCCGTTGCTAGATGTCTTGTACCCACTAGAGGTCAGCCTGTCGTGCTTTCAAAGTGTTCGGCCTGTAATAGACTCAAACAGCAACGAATGGTTGCTGCCCAAGTGGTTGGAGTTCGGCGGCGATCACTTGCGGTAGTCGTTGCTGATTTTGGGAAGTGGGGGTTCAGTCGGAGAACTGTCCCGTCTGATCAGTAGGGCCGCTTGACCCTGAGCTCTCGGTTGATCTGGTGCAGGGTCTATGTGTA